AACCATTTGACTTCCATATGGTCTGCAGCAGAATACGACCCTTCACGGTGACGTAAAGCAAAAAACCTAACGGGTCAAATAGAGACATAATAAGTCTCATCACTTCGCGTTTAGTCGGTCTTTTAATGCCTGTCTTAATAGCTTCGCTCACCTTCGGGAACTTCAAATGAAATAGAAATTCGTCAGTCTCTCGATCCCAACGCACTCCGAGTACTCTTTCAACCTGGTCATCTTTAACGTCTGAGAGGATTTTCAGACAGCTCGGGGCAAGTTTCTCAGCCGGTAAATGAGCTAGTAAACGTTTTGAGTTCGATACAAAATTACGTAAGTTAAACCCACCTGAAGCATGAATGTGTACCACGTCATCCACCACCCGGATCAGATCATCTTCATGATCGAAAGAGTGGATATAATCATCGACATAGTGGTGATCAACAATTGCTTTATATGCTTCAGGTTTTGTCGTCTCATACCTACGAGCATTTATATTTTTAACAAATTGTGCTGATGACGGCGAGCATACAGCACCAAAGGTCATGACGTTCATGATGTAAGTTTCGCCATCCCACAAAATTCTCTGAGCATGTCTATCTTCCGGTCGGATGAGAACTCTGTGGAACATTTCCTGTATGTCCGCTGTCACAGCAAACTTGCCTGTCCGGAACTTTAATAAGACTGCTGGTAGTGATGTCAAAAAGTCAGGTCCTCGCAGTAGGAAATCATTAAAAGACTTACCACCAGACTTCGCAGCACAGTCTAAAACAATCCGCAGCTTATTCGGTTTGTTGGGGTTGAAGACTGCAAAATGCGGCAAGTACCAGATCCTAGTCTTAGTCGCAGGATCTCCTGGTTGAATTTTCGTGATGTACCCTTTGTCCAAATTTTCTTCTATCTTAGACCTGTACTGAAAAGCAAACTCTGGGAAGCTCACCATTTTCTTCTGAACACCGTTGAGTCGGCTCATAGCCAACGGTAGGCTATCCGGCAGCTGAAGATCGTCAGACTTCCAAAGCAGGCCAGTCTCCCACCTGCCTTCGGGCAAGAGCTTAGTGGTTCGCTCCATGATGCTCAGCGCTAGCTGATCCTCTCGAGAACGAGGAAAGTCGTTAGTCTGCTTAACGCCAAACGAGTCTGTGGAGAAAGACTGCTTGACCAGCTCGTGTAGTTCGTCACATCGACAAGAATGTAAAACAGTTGCATCGTCTGGTACACTACCCAGTCCTACATTTCCATGAACTACGTAGCCTAAGTCAGTCTTAGAAACTATTGGTCCAGTCTTATGTCTTTGTATTATCTGTCTAGTAATAATCAAATCAATGTTGTCTTGTCCAATAAGAAGTTCAATCATGTCAGGCCGTATGTCATAGTCAGTTACATAGTCAATCACCCATGGATATTTGTTTACAATTTTCTTATATCTAAAACTATCTACACATATATTAAGATTATTTACAGAACGTGCACTATTTACATTATATACATTTGACACATTTACTCCGCGAATATTAAAAGAAACTAGTCTAGAGTTCGGTTCGATGGTTGTCATGCCGGACGCGCCGCGGATGCGAAGGCTCGACGTCGGTCCAGTGATGCCAGCTCTCTCCAGAAGTGACGAGTTCACGAGTGTCACTGCTGCTCCCTCGTCTAAAAGTGCATAAGTTAGCACGTCACCTTTCGCTCCGGATACTACAACTGGAACCACTTTTAAAAATACATGCCGATCCGCACTGTTGAGAGTATTAACGGTCTTGTCCGTGTGGTTGACAGCATTATCAATCTTCATGACGCGTCGCACAGCGTGGAGCAAAGTGTGATGAACCCTCATGCAGTCGCGAACAGCACACTTCGTCTTTTTTTCACAAGCCCTTAATTGATGTCGGCTGGACAAACATGAAAAACACAACTTCTTCTCAGTTACGAATCTCCAACGATCGTCTGTCGTCATCTGTATGAACCTCTCACAGCTTTGTATGTCATGCGCATCGCCGCAAAGAGTACAGGATAAATTTACTGCCGTTGGAGTCGTCGCCATCACTGCAGGTCTCCAAGGTCTAGGATCCGGTCTGGTCGGTGGTTTCACATCACTAGGCGTCTTGGTGGTCAGAGGACTGATGAATGAAGCAGCGTTGGCTATTGTCATAAGCCACTCCGATATATGTGACAGCGTGACGGTCTTCACGCCTAAGCTCGCTGCATGTATCGCCCATTGATATCGTAACGTCGATGGCAGCTTACTCACAATTTCTCGTATTAACGTTGGATTCATTAAATGTCCTATTTCTTCGGTTGATTTCATAGTCGCCGTGACATTCTGCACAGCCGTCGCGAAATCTATTAGACGGTCTATGTCGTCGTGACGTATGTCACGTATTGCATGAATTTTATTCAATAAAATTTCGATGATATTTTCTGGTCGGCCGAAACGTAATTTTAATGTGCTGATAATGCGATCGAGATTGCTAGCGCTAACAAGAAGCGCGTACACTGCGTCACGTGCTCGTCCCTTCAAACATCGCGCGAGTCGGGCTATATTCTCGTCATCGCTATAGCCGCATAATTTTGTTGTCGATGTAAATTGACTATAAAAAAGAGACCATTCCTCGGGCTCACCAGAGAACGTAGGCAATTCTCGAGTACTTGACTGTCTTGCGAGGAGCTTAGTTACGCAGTTTGTTAGCTCATTCTGTTATGTAAGTAAGCCGGTAATCTTACGTCATGTGCGTTTGGTAATGTTTGAGAGTTACCTGGTGGATTGCATGTCAGTTGCGGATCTTCTTCCTCTTCTAGGGCCTGACTTTCGATGGCTAGTTTTTCCTCCAGAAGCTGCAGGTGTAGTCGTGCGCGTTGTTCGGCAGCGTCCAACTTTAGTTGTATTAGTTTTTGTCGTCGAATCTGAGTCATTGCACTGGAGACGGTGGACCGGACAGACGGGGTCGGTGACGGTGCGCGACTGCTGTGGACGGACTGTCGGTCTCGCCCGGTCTGGTCAGCAGCGGCGGTCGTACCATTTGTCGAAGACGTCGCCATGTCGGTGTCTGTTCCTAGTCTCTCACCATAGGACTTGTCTTTTTGCTCGAAGGACCACTTGAACGGTCGAATGACTACTTGAACGGTCGAAGGTCACTTGAACATCTTATATAATAACGGTCATTTATTATTCGTTCTGTTTCGTCTCTTTGTATGTCTGTCTTTTCAGAAGTCAAAAAATGTACTGCGTCGCTGCTGGTCACGTACGCCCTCGTTCCATTTATTTTTGAATTATTTTCAAATGTCTGTCTTAGTCTGTCTATGTCTAGTCATTATAGGTTTTATGTCCTGTCAAAGAGGTTGCACGCCACGACACTTTATAAAAATAAATGGTATACAATTATAAAATACACTATACAATTTTTTCACTAGAAGTTCAAACTCATTTCAATCTAACCTACGTATAACATCTTAA